GAAGAACTTGATCGCTCGCAGAACGCTGTTTCTCCACTTGAACAGCCTGCGTCCCCCCGCAGTCCGTAAACAGAAACCTGCCTTGTAGCAATCTCGGTGATCAGGATCCTGGTCTTCGTCGTCGACGCGGAAACCAGGCTCACTGGAGCACGGTTGGCAGACCACCGCATTCCGTGCATGCCAGTACGTGTCCAAAGCATTCGACAAAGAACGGTGATGGTAAGCTTGTCCGCGGGCGTATGCGGTACACATGGCAGCACCCACTGCTCCAGACACATCGGTATCGACCCTGGCCCGCACTGCTGGGGCGCCCGCCGAAGCACCGTTCATAGGGGCTGTCCGGAATGCAACATGTCGTTCATCAACTTTCCCAGTGCTCTTGAATAGCGACTCCACCACCAAACTGCGTTGCTCCTTCGCGATCTCGGCAATCTTTGACTCAACCATCGCCTCCTCGTCTCTACGCTGGCGGTTGGCTGCTCTATCTGCACGCTGAACTGTCTTGATAAGCTCCCGCAAGGCCCCGTCCGAGTGTTCAGACAAGGACATTTGAAGTGCATCCATCGGGGCTGCGAGAAAACTGGACTCAGAGAGCACATTCTGCCGATTGAACAAAGCAACGGCCTGCGATTGCACCTGTCGGTCCGCAATGGATTGACGAGGACCGAAACCAGGCAGACCAGCCCTGTGCAATCCGACCAGCCCTCTGGGCGTAGGTGGTATAAGGAGCTTCCTCTTCCAACCCGTTTCTTCCCCTTCGGGGAGGGGTTTACCCCTCCCCCACACCACCTCCCCTGGACCTGGACGGGGAAGGCGGCGAGCGGTCAGAGCGTCCAAAACGGCCTCAGCGAGGAAGCCACAACCATTGGCGTTACTAAGGCGTTGGCCCCAGTTTGGCTTCTTGGGGGGGGCGCGAATATAGGACCCCCCTTCTTTGGTCGATCTCCTCCAAAGATGGCCCCACGAGCGCCCCCGAGGCTCCCAAGAGGGCCCCAAGAGAGCCTCAAGAGGTGCCGAGGAGGCCCCAAGAGACCCCCAAGGGGCCCTCAAGATACATCCGCGAGACCCCCACAAGGCCCCCAACGGCCCCCCGAGACACCCAAGACGCTCCAGGAGAAGACGTCCCAAGAGGCGCCCAAGGAGCCCCCAAGAGACACCAGAAGAGACTCCGAGAGGCATCCAGGAGGCCTCTGACCTTTTTGCTAACCCGTTTCCTCCTCCTCCTCCTCCTCCTCCTCCTCTTCCTCCTCCTCCCTCTCATCCTCCTCCGATTCCTACTCCGTCCTCCCGTTCTTGGAGTAAGACTGTTGCACCAGCCCTTGGTTCCTCTGCATGCTCCTTCACTTCCCTGATCACCTCAACTCGCGTGGGCACCGTTTCTGGATGGGCTGGTGGGGACACGCGAAGCGTCAATAATTCTGTCGCATGCTTGCCGTCAACGGCGTCTTGGAGCTTCTCCGCATCAGTGCGATTCAACCATGCCTCTTTGACTGCTACAGGGTCGGTGATTTTCTGCCTCCACATTCTGGACACATGGCTCCTCCAAGCGCCGCCACCCCCAGTTCGTCTAGGTTGTTTCCGTGCTGGTGGCTGCTCCGTTTCATCTCCCGCGTCGTCGGCAGCAGTGTCGCGCGTGTCGGGCGGACGTGCTTGAGGGGGGCGCCATGGATTAATCTCTGCACTGCGTCGTTTGTGTTGCTGCTGTACTGACCGAGCAGACACGTCGAAGAAGTTCGGGCGATGCGTCTGCGTGCCGAGCCTCGTGATAATGCGCCTGGCCCACGCGTGCATGCATTCCACTGACGCTGTATCTGTATACCCTAAAAGCAAAATGAGCAGCAACACCATCTTTGCATCTTCTGATTCGATGTCCCAAGTCGCGAGGAACTCGCGGGTCCATGGATCTAACAAACACGGCGTGCGCGCATACATCGTTTTCAATTCTGAGCAAAGGCTGGGATCCAACAAAGTCACGAAAATCTTGAAATGAGGCCGAGCGTGATCGACGCCAAGAACACGAGCGCATTCGGCTGCTTGTTTGGATGCTGTCCTGAAGGCGAGGCATCTGAACGACATCGTGCACTCTTCGATGGGTACCAACCTCCATATCGCAGACTTTTCCATGAGCATTCTCACATGACGGTCATACTCCATGTCCAACTGGCCGCGCGCAGAAACGAGGATGCGATAATCACGGGCGCTGATGCCCTTGAACTTATCAATGCTGGACAACAGGTTTTGTTTCCGATCCCACCGTGCACTGCCAATCACAAGTTGTTTGCGGAGCACTGCCATCGCTGGCTCTATGATACAACGGATGAGGATGAGGTCGGCCAGTGCTTTCCCAGGTCGTTGCTTAAGAAGCCACGCTTCTGCCATTCTCCTTGCTTTAGCATTCTGCTCAGCGAACTGGTCATCTGCAGGGGCTGGCTTGCCACCGAGGCCGCTCGACGAGGCGGCGCCGCATTGATCGTCTGCGTCAGCAGTGTCATCCATGGCGTCACAAATCGCACCTCCAAAGCCACTCACATTCTCGCCTTGGTTATCCGAAATTGGTAGCATCGGCATCGGAGCAGCGGCGCCGCTGTCGTCGCCCGCTGCAGCAGGACGGCGAGCACCAGCCTTCACAAGCCACAGCGCAAACGTTCTCGATAGCAACCGATGGCAACACTCAAGCAGCCCTAAATCTGAGATGGCCTTGTCGTTACCAGTCCACTTCTTCCTATTGTATATTTGAAATTGGCGGCACAAGGCGAGGCATATGCCACGCGACGCCACCTTGGCAATTGTCTCCTTCGGCGTCGTGCACCCGAACGGGACGAATCCCACCAGCCATCTGGGTGTGAGTGGCTTAAGGCGTGTCATCTTCCACTCCTCCCTCTTCCCCTTCGGGGAGGGCTTTACCCCTCCCCTATTACCCCCCTCCCCTGGACCTAGAGGGAGGGGGGGCGGGTCGCTGCTTGGAGCGCCCAATATGACCCAAGACTGCCCCAAGAGCGCCTCGGAGAGCCCACGATGAGCCTCACCATGACCCAAGGTAGCCCAAGATGGCCCAGGATAACTCCGAAGACGCTCTAAGGGGCCCCAAGGCCGCCCCAAGAGGGCTCCAAGGGGCCTCGGAGCGATCCAATGATGCTTCCAATAAGCCAGGTTCCTTCAACATCCGAAAGAACATCGATGAGGCGCGCCTTCTTGCCATTCCGATTTCGATAGCCTTCCGAGGCTACAAGATGGCCCCAAGATGGCCCAAGCGGGTCCCCAGATGGTCCTCAGAGAGCCCCAGGACGGCCTCAACCGCGCCCAATAGCTCTCCAATGGGGGGCCCCAGAAGCGAACTTTAGGGCCACCGAGGGGCGAGGCTAGTTGGTGACCCCCCCCCTTATTTGGGCGATCTTCTCCAGGATTGCCCCACGCGCCCCCCTGAAGCTCCCAGTAGCACCCAGGGGGGCCTCAGATGCGCCCAGCCCCCAAGAAGCGACCAAAAGGCCTCCAAGATGCACCCAAGAAACCACCAAAAAGCCCCACAAGGCTCCCTGATGCACCCAAGACGCTCCAAGAGGCCCCCAGGACCACCGCGAGGCTCCCAAGACGTCCCAAGAGGAGTCCCACGAGATACCCGACGAAACTCCAAGAGGCATACAACGGGCCTCTGGCCGATCTGCGTCCTTATTCTTCCTCCTCCTCCTCCTCCTCCTCCTCCTCCTCCTCCTCCTCCTCCTCCTCCTCCTCCTCCCCTCCCCCTCCCCCTCCCCCTCCTCATCGTTCTCTGCGTCCTCCCCCTCCTCCGATTCCTTCTCCATCCTCCCCCTCCTGGGCCAAGATGGTTCCCCAGCCCATTGTTACTCTGTATGCCCCTGATCACCTCAATTCGCTTGGGCATCGTTTCTAGGTGGACTGGTGGGGATACGCGAAGCGTCAAGAATACCTGCACGCAGTCGGGGAGCTCCCAATCGCCATTCGGCAAGCACGACAAAAGAATGTGCGTCAGCCGTCGCCTGTGCCTACCTGGAACGAACATCGCAACTGCAAGTTTGCGGAACCTCTTGGCATCTTCACTGGATTGCCCTTCTCGGACGTCGATGCTACCCTCGACGACGGAAACCAAACATTTCCTGAACACACGCATCCAGCCGCCGAGGTTTGTGCTCAACGCCACGCGTATAGCTCCTGTCACCGTCGCCCCCAGTAGGCCGACCGACTTGGTCAGGCAACCTGTCGATTTGTGGACCTCGCAGCCGAAATGCAGAAGCACCCAGTCCTTACGTGATGCAGTGACTAATCGTTCCGCACTGAGCTGGGCAGCGTACCGATCTGAACAAATGAGACGTGTCTTAAACAAGAACCGTTGCACCGCCTGCCACCGACAGCCAGATGAACTCCGAAGCGCCTCAGCTATGTTGTTCGTGGTTGTGTTTTCTAGAACCTGGGCTGCTGTGATCACGTCCTCGCTTGTCACGATTGAGTAAGTGGCATGTCCGTTCTCATTCTGGATCTTGAGTAGAGCCCCCCACGATATTTTGGTCTGGAACACTTTTGCGGGCGCCCTCTCCACGATCAGATCTATTGACAAGGCCTCTTGGATGCGGCGCAAGGCATCTGCAACGGTCGGGTTCCCGATACTGTCATCAGAGGGCTGCGTGACGTTCAACAACATCCTGGCCTCGTCGTACCGAGCCGACTCAACGAACGCCAAGCACTGCACGTGGCCAGGCATTGATGATAGCGCAACCTTTGCGCAGGGGCGAAGAAGTTGCGCCCCCCTCTGCGCCAACGCCCCACCCCCCCGACTGCCACGCCGGAAACTGGGGGGTAGGTGGGCGGGCGCGGCGATCGAGGGGTCGGGGCGATGGCGCGATGGGTGGGGGGGGGGGAAGGAGGGTGGGCAGGCGATACAGAGCACGCTGAATAGTTAATCGTGCGATCGATGTTGTACTGCAGCGCGTTCAGAGTAAGCCCTGCATCGCTAGCCCACACCTCCTGCCCCCCTGTCAACGCACAACTTCGCACCTGTGCTGCCACATTGCGTTCTCGATCGACCAGCTCGGCCGCTGCAGCTGCTCTGCGAGTCGCCTCTTTGATCCACCGCGGGAACGTGTGCAGATCCAGTGCTCTCACAATCAACGAAGACGCCTGCCATGCATTTACCACTGGGTTGAAAAATTCAGCACAGAAATCAGCAACTGCCGCATCTGTCGTCTCATCAGAGGGGTGCGATGCCAACTTCAATACATAGTGGGACAACTGATTGGGGCAGCTCGGCAGACCAGGCCGAAATAAAGACATAAACACATCTTGAGGTATCTCGCGCTCCACTCGTAGCAATCTTCTGGTGGCGACGGCGACGACCTGGCCAGCTCCAGCCGCCACGGGTGGAGGCGGTGCGTCCTGTCGTAGAGCTTGCAACCCCTCTGCTGCACGCACCGCCTGTCGACTGGGCCTGCCGCGGCCGCGCCGTCCAGGATCGGGACCGCACTCCATTCCATGCAGCGCACCCTCGTGCACATCATATGGTGAAACTGTGGGGACAAGTGGTGAAACAACAGTTGGTTGGTTTGAGGCAAAATGGGTACGGAAGCGTTCGAACCCCACGGGGCTAAACAAATCGGGTGCGTTGCTCATCCCACCAGCCTTCTGGGCGTAGGTGGTTCAAGGAGCTTACTCTTCCAACCTCCTTCTTCCCCTTCGGGGAGGGGTTTACCCCTCCCCCTACCCCTTCCCCTGGACCTGGACGGGGGGGGGCGCGAGCGGCCAGAGCGTCCAAGAAGGTACATTACGGCTCCAAGAGGGGCTCAGAGAGCCCAAGATGATTTCCAAGATGGTTCAAGATAGCTTACGGTGCCTCAACATGGTTCCGAAGCTGCCCCAAGAGACCCCACGACCGCTCCAAGACGGCTCCAAGAGGCCTCCGAGCTCGCCACGGAGATCCCGAAGACGCCAACATCCCTCAAACACCGAAGGAACGTCAATGTGTGTTTGCTTTCTCGCCTGTTTGCTTCCGATTGCCATCCGAGGCCTCAAGATGGTTCCAAGATGGCCCAAGAGGGCCCCGATAGAGGCCCACGAGAGCCCCAACCCAAGACGGCCCCAAGAGCGCCCAAGAGCGTTCCAAGAGCGCCCCGAGAGGGGCAAAATATGTGATGCTGGGCGCTCCCAAGGGGACGCGAATTTAGGAACCCGCCTTTTTTGACAGATCTCCTCCAATATGGCCCCAAGAGACGCCCAGGAGGCCCCACGAGGCTTCCAAGATGGCCCCAAGAGGCCCCCAAGAGGCCCCAAGAGGCCGCCAAGAGGCCCCCAGGAACCCCCCAAGAGGACCCCAAGCGGCCCCAGGAGCACCCCCCCCGAAGCACCCAAGACGTCCAAGAGGCCCCCTTGACCGCCAAGAGACCCCCAAGACGCCCGAAGAGGCTTCCAAAAGGCTTCCAAGAGACATCCGAGAGACATTCAAGATGCTTCTGGCTATTCTGCTGGTCCTCGTCCTCCTTCTCCTCCCCCTCCTCCCGCTCCTCCTCCTTCTCCTCCTCCCCCTCCTCCTCCCCCTCCTCGTTCTTCTCATCCTTCCCCTCCTTTCCCTCCTTCTCCTCATTATCCTCCTTCTCTTCCTTCTCCTCCTTGCTCGCCCTCCTCGTCCTCGCCCTTCCGACGACGACGATTCCTCCTCCATCTTCCCCCTCTTGGGGCATGTGACAGTTTCTTCCGCACTGTGTTGCTGGATGCCCCCCCCGCTTCCCTGATGGCCTCAACTCTCCTGGACATCGTTTCTGGATGGGCTGGTGTTGGACGCGAAGCGTCGACAATTTGACAAACCCAGAAAAGCCACCATTGACCACCAAACACAACGCAACCGCCATGCAATCGCAATTCAATCGCAATGCAACTGCAACGCGATCGCAACGACCATTGATGGACAAGTCACGTGGCTTGTGGGCAGCGCTGGTACATGTGACCAAACGCAACGCAATCGCAATGCAGCCGCTCGTGGCAGTTCAAAGGATAAACAGGGCTGTGATAATGTTGCCCTCGTTTGCAATGCACATACGCGTAGACATCACAAGCGACGACACCTGTACACGAACGTGGACATGATTCGTATACGCAGTCTCTTCGCGGACACTCTCTACACGTACTCTCCGCACGTACCCTTTAACCTACTATCATCACGCCTACGGCTTCTGCGCGTGCAATCTTATCGTACGTACATCGATAACGACGTATAGCTAATGACACTGCTGTCACAACCCATGCCACCTGGAAGATGCCAAGCGGCTGCCCGCGCTCCCAATCAAAACGTCAACTCGAGTCGCAAACTTGCGTTTGCACAGGGAAATATTTCTGGAAACAACAACACATTGAAAACAACATCTTTTTCACAAGCAGCGACATCTTTTTGAAAAACGACGACATCGAAACGAGCACTTTTGCCATATATGGGGCAACATCTGCGCGAGCTGTTTTCGATAACTTTTCAGCTCGGAATATTCAACTCCAACATCCCTCGCTGTCCACGCTCGTACTTTCTTAAACCTAGTCACCGCCGGGAACCTCGTAGAGCTCCTTACACTGGTAAGAGTGCTGAGAATCGAAGTAGAGTCAAAAACTAAAGATTTTTCGGAAATCTTCATTTTCGATTTTTTCGATGTTCATATTCGCTCAGTCCCGGGAAGTCAACTCTCAAGAAGATGCATCGGCAGAGCTGAGCTGCTGTCAGAGAGGAGTTCATATGCCAATGCTCGGCGTAAAAATCTGCTTTCTATCTTTCAAATCTGCGCAAAACCGACCCAAAGTCACCACTTTTCCTTTCTGGTCGGGTCGACCAACTGGGCGCCGGCGGTAAACCGTCAACCTTCGTTACCGCCGGGGACTCGTCGAGCTTCCTGACAACATATAATGTCGAAAAACATTACACTGAAAAAAAAGTTTTTCAGCCCAAGCAATTTCAGACCTCTCCGACGTAACAGCCGAACGCCCCCGATGCTTCTGGATTGTCTTCTGTACGAGCTCTGTAGCTCTTCTACAGCCCGAGTTACATGCGTAAATCGACAGTACCTCTCAAGATGAGTCGAACAAAAAACAAATAGTTTCCCAAACCTAGCTCGAGTATCAGACCGAGTTCAGACCTCTGCATGCGACAGGCAGACGCGTCTGATGTCTCTGAATCGATTCCTGTGATTACCAGCCCTGCAGCCCCCCTACAGCCCGAGTTAAGTGCAGGAAACCGACAGCACCTCTCAGGGTGACTCGAACAATACGAATAGTTTCGCGGACCTAATTCGACAGCAGACAGACTTCGGAGCTCTGGATTCGAAAGACGGACGCACCTGATGTCTCCGAATCGATTCCAGTGATTACCAGCCATGCAGCCCCCCCACAGCCCGAGTTGAGTGCAGAGAACCGACAGCATCTCTCAAGATGACTCGAACAATACGAATAGTTTCGCGATTCTAGATCGGGCAGCAGACCGAGTTCAGAGCTCTGGATTCAACAGACAACGGCCACTGATTATTCTGAATCAGATTCTGTACGTATCAGCTCTGAAGCTGTCCTGTAGCTCGAGTTGAGTACAGAAAACCGAGAGCCCCTGAATAATACGAATAGGTTTGCGGACCTAGCTCGGCTAGCAGACCAAGTTCAGACCTCTGGGTTCAACAGGCGAACGCGGCTGATCATTCTGAATCGATTAGCTGTGTTTACCAGCTCTGTAGCTGTCCTAAAGCTCGAGTTATCTTCAGAAAACCGGCAGCGCGTGACAAGATGACCCGAAACGGCCGATCCCGCCTAGACGCTTTTTGGCAGTAAAAGGTACGCGAGCAAGCTGGGATCGAGATGGCGAGCGGGAATAAGATCGAATATCACGAGAAAAAAATACAAGAGCTCCAACGAATGGTTCAATTTCGAGAACGAAATTTTCAACCGAGCAAAAGTCGTCAAAACGTCCGTCGAGGTGTTTCTTGCCAACTAGCTCTCCAGCGCCCCGGAACTGGGAGCCGGCGGTAAACCGTTAACCAGGTTACCGCCGGGAGCCTCGTAGAGCTCTTCTCTGCACGACGCTGCTTGGAACACAAGGGGGGACCTTTCTTACGCGTGAGCTGAAAAGCTTTAAAAATTACGTGTTCCTCTCAGAGCACTCGTGTAATGCGGATAGTTTCGCGGATCTAGCTCGAGTAGCAGTCCGAGTTCAGACCTCTCGATGGAACAGACAAACGCGCCTGATGATTCTGAATCGATTTCTGTAAGTAGCAGCTCTGTACCTCTCCTAAATCTTGAGATACAGAAAACTGTCAACGCGTGTGGAGGTGCTCGAAACGGCTGACGGTTCCCTCAAGTCTTTCGATAGTAATACTGCAGCTACGGACCTGTGAATTTCACTCGCAGACGCGGCACAACCCACTACAGGTGAGAAAAATACCGGTTCCCAAAACGAACTTTAAAATTGCACAAAGATTGCACTTGGTAGCGTCCACTGGGCGCCGGCGGTAAGCAGTCAACCTTCCTTACCGCCGGGGGACTCGTAGAGCTTTCTGAGCATATATAATGTCGAAAAAAATTGCAGAGAACGAATAGCTTTTCATCCTAAACGATTTCAGACCTCTCGATGCAACAGCCAAACGCCCCTCATGCTTCTGGATCGTTTTCTGTGCGCACGAGCTCCGTAGGTCTCCTACAGCCCGAGTTACGTGCGAAAATCGACAGCACCTCTCGAGATCACTCGAACAATACAAATAGTTTCGCGAATCTAGCTCGAGTATCAGACCGAGTTCAGACATCTGAATGCAACAGGCAGACGCGCCTGATGTCTCCGAATCGATTCCTGTGATTACCAGTCCGCAGCACCCTTACAGCCCGAGTTAAGTGCAGAAATCGACAGCACCTCTGAAGATGACTCGAACAACACGAATAGCTTCGTGGACCTAGCTCGGGCAGCAGGCCGAGTTGAGGGCTCTGAATGCGACAGGTGGACGCGATTGATGTCTCCGAATCGATTCCAGTGATTACCAACCCTGCAGCCCCCTTACAGCTCGAGTTAAGTGCAGAAAACGGACAGCACCTCTCAAGATGACTCGACGAATACGAATAGTTTTGCGAACCTAGCTCGGGCAGCACACCGAGTCCCGAGCTCTGGATTCGGCAGGCGGACGCGCATGATGTCTCCGAATCGATTCCTGTGAGCACGAGCCCTGTAGCCCCTCTACAGCCCGAGTTAAGTGCAGAAAACTGTCAGCACCTCTCAACATGACTCCAACAACACGAATAGTTTCGCGGACCTAGCTCGGGCAGCAGACCGCGTTCAGCCCTCTAGATGGAACAGACGAACGCGCCTGATGATTCGCAATCGATTTCTGTGAGAATGAGCTCTGTAGCTGCCCTACAGCTCGTGTTAAGTACAAAATACCGACAACGCGTATCAAGATGACTCGAAACAGCCGATACCGCCGCGAT